TTTGCTGTCTTGCAACCCGAGGTATCAGTCAACATTTCCTTTGGCAGCTAATGAAAAGCATCCAGAAACATGCCTATCAATAGCCCTCTTCCGGGCTTGGCTGCTGTGGGTTTGATTTGGGGAGTGTGTGTCAGTCTGGGTCTCGCTGTGTCTGGGCGCGCCGGCTGTGGGTATTTTCAAAAGCAGCGGGCGAGGAAGTCCATTTTCCCCCCCTTCTCCCTTTCCCAGACCGCAGGCTGGCTGCCCAGCTGCGCCCGCGGCGTCTGACCCTGGGCTGGAGCAGAGCCTGAGCTCGCTTCCCGCAGCCTCTCCTCATTCCTGGGCGTTTCCAGGAGATGTGCCCGGCCGAGGTTAGAAGGGTTGCGTTATTGTCGTAGTTTTAAACCTTCTCCAGAGCCTCAGGGGAGGGAGGCGGATGGAGGTGGGCTGGGTAGCGTGGCACGCGTGGGCGGGTTTGGGTTTGGGGAGCGGAGGCGAGGGGGGAGCCGGGTTTTCTTCTGGGCGCTTCCTCCTTTCTGGCCAGCAGGGGGCTCCTTCGCTCTGCCAAAAGAGACTCGCTCCTCTCGGTTTGGGAGCAGAGTGGGAGGGGAGGACAGAAAAGAAGGTGGGGGAGGGGTTGGGCAGGGGAGAGAAGGGATGTAATAGGGAACACTGAGGTCTGCCTAGACCTCTCAGACCTCTACTTGCAAAGTACGTATTCGTCGTCCTACCTACATTCTCAAACCCAATCTCGGTGCCAAAGGCGAGTGCCTGATCCTCCTTTGGACTGTGGGTCAAAGAAGCCCCAGAAAGGAGGACTTCTCTGGGGATGCTAGGGAAAGAAACGGGTATCAGGGGAACATGATCCTGGCTAGAGGGAAAACAAAACAAAACAACAACAAAACAAAACAAGGTGTTACAGTGAGCAATGCACAGATACTATGAACGCATTCTCATAACACACATTGTAAGCCAACGTTGCATCTGTGTAATTTTCTGGGTATGGAATACGTACACATAGTTACTCAGCAATAATCATAAAAGTCTAGACTATTGATTCCACTTTTAGTTTTGACCAATAGCCTTCAATTTTACTAAATCCGCGATATTTAACTGTTGTTTTCCTTTTTTTCTCCCCCATTTTTTCTTCCTCAGCCCACCCCAGGCCCAACAGCATTAACAGAGGCCACAGAGGCCGGGCACTGGGAAGTCTGTTCCTGTTGAATATATGATGTGTCTAAAGCGTCGCCCTTTATCTGTGCTCAGTGGGCCAAATGTTCACATCGTCCATCAGCCTAGCCTACTGGCTACCTAAGCTCTCTGCAGGTTTCTGGAACTGAGAGTTGTCAGAGAGGGATCAAACAGCGGTCTTCATTTCCCTAGGGACTCTGTGGGGCTAATATTCCTAATTTGCACTTCGCATCAAAAGCTAGGATGCACTTCTAGTCATCTGGAACAGTCTCTGGGAATGTCACTTCACTTGATTTGGAGCACTTGTATCTCCTCTTCATTGCGTCACATATAAATTCTCTTTAGTTTTACCAATGACGTTATTTACATCTTTTTAATTAAGGTTCTCCCTGACTTGCATTTCTTCTCTAGACCTTCAGTGACTACCCTGTTGTTGTGTGCGTGTGTGTGCCTCTGTGAAGTAGTCTGCTTTTTCTTCCCCTTTGAGTTTGAAAACCTCACTGAAAAGCTATAATCTATTGGTAATAGGACTTCAAACACACACACATATATGTGTATGTATGTATATATATACATACATACATACACATATACATATATATAATCACACCCATAAAATCAAAAATTAATTTAATCACATAACAACATTTGTATCTGATCAGACCTTGTCTTAGATGGAGGAGTGGGGATTGGGAAGAAAGACAATAATCTAAGTACACAAATACAAAAAAAAATTTGCAGAATATTTCTTCACAACATAAAGATCAACCTTGAATATTTCACATTTCTCAGAATTGTTGCAGCTTTGCAATTGGTTTCTATTTCTGTATTATTCTGTTATAGAAATAGTCATCATAAATATAGGAAAATCCAGGCAAGAAGACTCCTGGCTGTAGAATTAGCCTGGCAATGGTAGCCTCTGTAGAGGGCTACTAAACTTTTCCCAGGGTACAGAAATCCCAAATCCAGGCACCAACTCATTTTTTTCAGAGCTGTGATTAAATGAAACACGTGCAATTAGCATTTAATTCAACTCATTTGAAGAGTTGTGGCCCAACAACAAAGCATGTGGGGGGGAGGGGGGTAGACCTGAAGAGGCAAAAGAAGATACTACATGAGGGGGAAGTTTTTCTTTTCTTTGAAAACCACAAACAAGTATTGTTCTGATCTCAATGCACATATGCAATGAACAGTGTCCTTCCTCTGTCTATTACTAGTCTCCCCAATTCTTAAGACAACAGCATGGGGCTGGGAGAAGCAAGCTTGTACTATTTTAAACATAGGTCCTAAAGTCTTACACCCATGATATTCCCAAATTCTGAAAAATAATGAATGCAACATACAAGCAAAAGACAAACATCATGATACACATTTCACTTTGTAAAAGATGAAAATATTATTCTCTCCCCTGGATGCTTTCATACTGCAGACTCAAGAGAAGGCAGCAGTAGTTTGAGAAAGCAAACCCACTTTCCCAAGGAAATATCTTATTTAGATAAGCATTTCAAAATAACTTGAATCCAAACAAAATGCATTTTTCTTATTACCCATTTTTACTGAGTGCACATGTGATCTGTTTAGTTGCAAATGAAGTTGATTTTTAATTTGCTAGTAGGGTCATAACACATTTTGTATGAAAGGAGAGTTTGGAACTGTGGAAATATCACTATAGGAATAATACTTGATCATTAAGAGTTAAATCAGTGACTTATAGACTTGAAGGACTGATCTTATCTGGCAACAGAACTGTCCTATTTTTCATTACTATGAAACAGTTGGTGTTACTTACTATCTCTATTCCTTAATATTAAAGGTAACAAAGGGGTAGAGCCATAGAAAAATCAAGGGGGAGGAGAGATGGAAGGGTCAGAAAGAGGTTGATGAAGTCTAATTTCACATTAGAGAATGAATTTAAGTGTTCCCATCACATTGAAGATAGGAAGGATGCATTTTGTGTTTTGCTTATATACATTTTCTTGAGTTGTTCCAAAGCACACACACGAATGGGAAATTATTCAAGAACCTCTTCTCTATTCCTGAGAATATAAGAATACCAATATCAGCATATTCTCTTTGGGGTTCACCTGGCCCTTCTAGAAAAGGGATAAGGGTAAGTGAGAAAGTGAGACTACTATATTACTATCTTCAAGATGCTTTATATTTCAAAAACAAACAAAGCAAGTCTACTCCATAAAGCATATCCCTTTGAAGTACAAAGAACACCTATCCTTAAAACACATTTTTCTTAATTTACTAGCTATCTCTAAATAAATAGTTTAAGCCCTAATGAAAACAAATCTAAAGCTAAAAAGTTGAATCTATTTAAATATTGGGACAGAGTCTAAATAACGTGACTGCCATAAATTTCCTGAGAATATGGAATAGTCTTGACTGTACTTTAAGCCTGACCTGCAGAGGGCAATAGCTTGACGCAAATGATAACAAAGGCTGCAGCAATATTAGACTTGAATCTGTGACTATGACCCAGGAATGCTGTGTAGGTTGGCAACACTGCTTAATTAATGTATATTGAAACAAAAGATTGGGTAAATTGTTTGATTTGTCTTTGGGCTATATTTTAGGCTAATCTAATTCATAACTGTTAGGTTTATTCTAAAGAGATTACCAAAGTTCCAGGAGGCACATTCAGTTATCTCAAGAATTATCCTAAAGACAAATTGTTTTACCACAGTGTTGAGACAGTTCCCTTAGGTTTTATTCTCTACCCAAAAAGGAGAGGTTAAAAACAAGTAGATTGCATAATCATTCAAGTAAACGACAAAGTGCAGGAGAAAATCTGTAGATTTTAGACACTGTTCATTAAAAAAAATTAATGGCAATAGCTAATAAGTCCACTTTACATGTGACTATTGTCTAATTCCTCACACCTTTTTATCCTCACTCTCAGCCCATCCAAAGTGGTCAGTGACTGGCTTATTTGTGCAACATCTTCATTTTCCATCCAAGATGTTCACCCACAGAAATAACTATATGTTAAAAGTTTTAAAGTTAATTGGTAATTTATCTATTCTTTACATTACCAAAGATTTTTTTTTCTATTAGAGATCCAGAGGGCCAGAAATCATAATATAGATGAAACTCCACTTTGTCTCCTTTAGGCTTCTACCCCCCACCCCCAATAGCTAGTCAGAAAAGACTGGAAATAGAGCAAAGAAGTGGGAGTGATTGTAGAGCTTAAAACTACTCTCATCTCCCCTCTACTCCTGTATCCCCCCAAATCATACTGAATTCAGATCATGTCAAAGCTCAGTGATCAGAAATGCCTTGCCCAAAAGTCATTCCCATTGCAAAAAGTCAAAAGAGCTCCTGGCATTAAAGCAACCTTGAGTCAGTCCTGATGGGATTAACTGCACTGAGTTTCTATATACTGCACGTGGTATGGATCTACTCTGATCACAGTAAGAAAAAAAAAGATAATAGATTTTTTAATATAGTTCCTGCACAGGAGTATTCTGTTTCTTTCAGATGGTAGAGTTTGATTCTGATAAAAAAAACCTTTTAAAATATTTTTTTTTTCCCCCAGTGCAGTGAAGATATGGTATCTATTTTTGCTTTTCTTTAAGGGCAAGTGATGGGAACTGCTTACACTAGGAAGGAAAATTTCATTTTTCCCCATTCTACTAAACGGTTTTGGTCGACATATGTTTGTTATCAGAGAGAGGTGCTGTGAACACAGAGCCATTTTCTTAGCAGCTTTTTGACTGTATGTTACCATAGTCCCACAAGGCATTGGTCCTTTCCCATTGGGAAGTCATGAATAAGAGACTATGAAGCTTGCACGTCAGATCTTCCTCAATTAATCCACCATTAGCATGTTTGGGATCCACTACTGGATGGGTAACAGCAGCTTTGGTGACTGTATGCTGTCCATGCCCAATTATGCTCTGCTAAAAATGAACTCTTTGCAGACCAACCTTCTTGAGCTGTCAGTGTTTTCCGTTTTCTTATTTTAACGTTTGTGTATAGTGGCAGGCGACAGATGGTGTAGATCAGATCGATTTGATTGCATTAGATGATTTTTCCCTCCCCACTCCTTTCTGGAAGCTCGCATCAGCTGAAGGCTATCGCCTGGGACTCAGAAGCATGAGCAAGCCGCCGCCACGCGAAGGCACTGGGGCACAGCCAGCGAAAGGCACCGAGGTCCCTTCCCAGGGCTTGTTAACACAGTAACCCGGCACACGGCGGAAATCAGCTTTCACTGCCCAAAGCCTATCCCCAAAACACATCAGATGACTCCCTGGCTTTTACACACAGTTGGAGTTCTGCTTGAAACCTGGATTTAGAGGGTAAGCACTTCAATAGAGGTGGATTTGTGGCAGTTACTTTGCTATACCGCAAGGCAAATCTGAGCAAATGTAAAGGATGCAGTGTGTGCGAGTGAGTCTCTGTGTTTACATCGATAAATGTGCTTCTTTTTTACCTGCTAACCATTGAACGAGAGTAATATTCAGGGGAGAAAATGTATGTAGTGTTTTTCCATTGATTGTTAAACCACTATCATTGCCCCCCCCCTGCATTTTTCTCTCGCTGGTGTTTGCCCCTTTTTACATAATAATAATAATAATAATAATAATAATAATAATAATAATAATAATAATGTATTTCTGCTTCTGCTTAATTGATTACTTCCATCAAACCGATAGCATCACGGCGATGCCTTCAGTATATTTGGCTTCAATTTACCAAACGTTTGACTGGGGTGAGTGTTTTGGAGGGGGGAAGGGATGGTTAGGAAAAGGAGAAAGGAGAAAAAGTAGAAGGGGCCGGCAGCCCGGTGGTCCAGGGTGATCAAAGGTACTAAAAGCACCCTACACAGGGGAAAAAAAAATACCTCTAGCTATTGCAAAGCAGGAGGAATGTAGATTCTAATAAACATGGCTTGCAGGAATCGATGAACAAAGGTACTTAATGCGGACGTGAGCCTCCGCCAATATCGCTTCGCTAGTAGTACCAGAATATTCAAAAGCAAAGTGTAAGTTGATCAACATCTCCCTGATGCTATGGGCTTTTTCCACCTCCCGTTGTTGTGTAGAGGGTGGAGAAGGGGGGGAGGGAGGAAGAATGGGTGGGGGAAATCCGACAGCTTAAGGAGGTTTGAATTGAATATGCACCCAGCGGCAGTGGTCTCGTAGGAAATGGTGTTCTCGTAAGTCAGGCTGCCCCGCCGAAGCACTAGAGAGAGCTTTGGTTAGTGCTCAGAGCGTCAGTTCTGCTGCTAGTGCTGCCGGGAGCCTGCCAGGAACTGAGCTGTCCACTCGCCCAGGTGCTGAAGCTGTTGGACCATTTGGGTAGGTAGGAGAAAGGCTGTCACAGCATCGGTGGGAAGGAAGCTTAGGGATTGCGTGTTCTGGTTTCTTAACATTCCTTTTCTCTTTCTGTATGTATTTGTGAGTGTGTGTCTGTGTGTGTGTCCTTTATTTCATTTGTGAGGAGGCAAAGGTAAAGGAAATTTCTCGGGAGGCATTAGAAAACGTTGGAAACCTGTGTGGGTATTTATTATGTTATTCTGATGACCCATGTATTGTCGTCTCTTGTGGGGCTTTATTTTCAGAGAGTTTAAATGCTCTGGCAATGCTTGTGAATTAAAAGAAAACATAATTCATTTAAAAAGTCTTAAATACCCAGAGCAGTGTATTTATTGACTTCAAATTAATATTAGTTTTGTTTAAATCAAACATATATAAATCAAACAATCAAAGGTATATTTTCTTCCCAGGCTACTGCATTACTTTCCCTAAGGGCTTTGGTTTCTAAGAGTTCAAGTTGAAGGAGACCTGTCAGCTTTCTGTCTTCTGGGGAATACTATCAGGGAATAGCCCTACAGTGTGGATCTGCTGGGTGACAGGGAAAAAAAAATGTATATAACTGCTTGATTCTTTTGCATGTGCCCTTTTAAGATGTATTGGAAAGTACATTAAACCGAAGATGAAAAAGGCACTGCTACTATTCTCTAAAATTTTCTCAGGTAACAAAGTAATTTAGCCATTAAATACCAGGTCAGGAAACAACAAAAATTAATTTGACTTACCCTATCTACAAGGAAGCATCTAAGTCCAAGGAATAGCTAAGGTGCTTGCACAAGTGCTTGATTTAACAACTAAAGGCAAATGTGTTTACAACTTTAAATTACAACCTGGTCAGTTGGAGATAACTTGGAGCAGAAATAAGTGATCGTTATATAATTATCTACTTGTTGGGAAGCTATTTACACTTACATAATTTGTAGAACTGAAGTGACTTCCCATGTTTCCCTGTCCCCTCCCCATTCCATTCACATGGATGTTCTCCTATGTATTTGAGAGTTAAGGTAAAACAAATTGAGAACTTTCTAATGGAAGCACAACATATCTTGGGCAGTGATGTTGCACTTGTCTTTTCCATTTAGTTAGTGAACAATAAACCCCTATTATCAGAATATCCGCTGCAGGATCTTAAGACAAAGCTTTTCCAGTAAGAGCCATATTGATCACAGAAGAGTCACAGAGCTACTCTCCCTGAAAGCCAGAATTTCAGCTACTTTGGGAATGAGTTTTGGTTATTTGTTTCTTAATTTTTTTTATGGAGACCAAGTTCTAAAGGTCTTTCTGCTGAGGTACTCTCAACAGCTGCACAAAAATGCATTTATAGTGTATATTAAAATGTGAGCTGTATAATCACACATTAGGGTACTACAAAATGATGCCTAAACCATTGAAATCTAAGCAGCTTGTAGACTCAGTGAGTTCTGATACTTACCCCTTTGCAGGAACTATGGGAAATGAGTTTAATTATTTCATACTTTGACTTTTAAAAAATCATTAGATCATGTTTCTCTAGGGGCCTGGAAAGAAAAGATGCCTAATCTTGTAGATCTATAAGCATTTGATTTCAAGTGGTAAATTGAACAAGTGCTTATTTTCTATGATCCTGGACTTGAGAAAATGCATTTCCAAAACACACCACTGAAAATCCTACCCATGCATGACCCTATCTTTATTTGAACTGCACTTGTTTCTCAACCTGACTAGGCAAATATATTTGTAATATTTGTGTGCTTAACTATGCATGTCTTTTACAGGGATCTATTGCTGGCAGTGACACTCAATCAAAGTACCAAGAGTGAGTTGATGGACCACAAGGGGATATGAAGTCAAGCAAGTACAGAGGAAGAAATTAGGAGACCAGCAGGTAAAGTGGACATTGCTTTTGACTTTAACCTAACCCATAGCCTTGTGAAATATTTCCCACCTGATAAGACAGCATCTCTTCATAGAGCTGCATGCACTGTTTCTTTCCTTTGACATTAAATACTTGGTTCTGTGATTTGTCTTTCAGAAATGGAAATACACCATCCATTGGATTTGTGAAAGAAGCAGCTGAGCAACTCTTTGGATTCTTCTTTAGGGACATAGAATTATGGATTTATTGACCCGATCAAGTCCAATGGCAGCAGCAGAAGCAGGAGGAGGAGGAGGAGGAGGAGGAGGAGGAGGAGGAGGAAGAAGAAGAAGAAGAAGAAGAAGAAGAAGAAAAAGAAGAAGAAGAAGAGAAAGAGCAGCAGGAGCAGCAACAGCAACAGCAGCAACAACAGCAGCTTCATCTTTCTGACTCTCTTCGGTGACGGGTATTCTTGGGTGGATAATACGGATTACGTTGTTATTGCTTAAGAATACGCGTAGTCGAGGAGAGTACCTGCGGCAGGCAGGCAGCGCCCGCCCCCTCCCAGATCACGAACTGGCCTCTAAACTACTGTGGTTACCAAGGTAGCATCTTTTATTTATCTTTTCCTACTATCTACTTTGTTTTGCCCTCTCCACAGTGTTAAGTGAACACAAAGTTTCTTCCCACCACAGTAGTGCTCTTTTAGCCACATGCCTTGTCCCATGAGTGTGGGGTGGGTGGATTAAGGGAGGAGAGGTGACAGCTAAGAGAGGAGTGGGATCACTTGGGCAAGTCTCCACCTCAGGCCACAGGGATATGCGTTGTCTTGAGACAGTGGATGTGAAACAATATTGAGTCACTTCTCTACCTGATTTCCCTTTCCTTAAAGTTGTAAATTATTGAAAAAAAAAAACCTGTGGTAACTTGGCAGACGTGGAGATTTTTGCATAGGAGAGAAGTGGGAAGGAGCCTTTGGGGAGAAGGATCCTTCTCAGCAATGCTATATACTTCTGTTACTTCGTGAATCTGGTGCCAAGAGGCTGCAAGGAAGCTGTCCTGTCGCCCCACCCCTTAGCTGTGTCACTCAGGCAGCCAGACATGGCGGCCGAGGCTGAGGATGGGAAGGGAGGGGGAGTAGAGGTGGGAGGAGACGGAGGCTGTGTTGGAAGAGCAGGGTTGGGGCGTTGACGCCCCGTGCAACTTCCAGATGGAAGCGTGTCGGTTTGGATTCCCCGGGAAGGGGTGGAGGAACAGAATAATTAACTGGATTGGCTGTGTTGCGACACAGGATTGAATCCCTGCTTGTAAAAGATGGGGTCAAGAAGGAAAAGGCCGGGCGGTGGCTGCTCACTTTGTCATTTTCTTTGAGACTCCTCACTCTTCAAGTCATCTTATCTTCTTTGCCTCTCGGAATGGGAGTAAAGTGTTAATAAAACACGTGTAAGGACTCCCTCCCCCCACCCTTCATTTCCCCACCCACCCCTAATCCCGAACCTATGGCCAATGCCTAGAGATTGGAAGGATGGACTTTCTGTACCCCACTTGACTCCTGGTTTTTTTTTTAATTACTTTTGAAAGTGGTGGCGGGGAATCACGCATTCCCTCCCCTCTGTTAGCCGCAAAATACCCAAGTCCCCACCGAAACCTCAGGCCGGCGTTTTGTAGCAGCATTGGGACTTTGTGGGAGTTGGCTCAAGCGGAGGTGCGCGTGGAAGATGTTTCAGCAGGTTGCCGAAGGCAGAGGACTGGGGAAGTGGCAGCCTCAGAGTGGAGCGGTTCCCACCCAGCTCGAATTGCCCTCTTTTAAACTCTCTGATTCTCTTTTACATATTCAAGCACACTGAGAGCCCGTGGCTACTCTAAAGGCAAAAGGAAATGGCTGGAAACTGGGAGGATAAAGCCCTTCCAGTCCAACTTGGATAACGACCCGGGCTTACTCCTCTAGGAGTGTCCCAGGCTGCAAGCGAAAGCATCCGGGACTGAGGTTTTTTTTGTTGCGCTTTCTTTGGACCGGAGCCTCTGTGGCAGCGGCTACGACTTGAATTCCTGTGAAATTAACGCGTCTGCCTTGCCGGAGAGCCAAAGCCAAGATGCGTTGCAGACAGCATTGTTCCCCGAACACAAATAAGACTTTTCCAGGGCTGAAGGATTGCCTCTCCAGCAAGTTGTTCTTTCTTTCTCACCGCGTACGACCTTAGGCCCTGTGGGAGTTCAGGGCGAGGCGCTGTTTGATATAGACACACTCTTCTGCACTATCTTAGCCATTCTCATTTTACTTCAGTACCCTGCTGAAGAAAAAAATAACTCCAGCGAACCCATGGAATAGAGGAAGAACTTTAGAATCTGGTGAGGGATAATTCTCTGAGCCCTTCTACTTCTTCCACCTTCATTCTATCCCTCCACAAACCCACAATGGAAACTTCCCTCGTGGAAACATTCTCCCTCCTCAGGGCCACACCACTTACAAGGGCTTTGACCTAAGGAAAGGTTTAAATGCCGAAAAGCTTGCAGTGTAGGCGGGATTGAGTTTTTTTGAAAAGCCTCCTTAGGAGATTCCATTTTAGGAATATTCTGAAGGAAGAAGGAATACAGAATCTTGACATCCTGCATCTCTTCAATATATAAAAGAAAAGAACATCCAATTGGTGTTTCTTTCCCTCATTGTTCTATAAATCATCATCAGCCTTTCGTGTGGTCCACCCGTCAGTTATCAGGGCCATCTTGTAACTGTGAAATGGTCAGCAAGACACTAACTTCTGGTATTTTATGTTTTCGTTTGTAGGCGTGATAGTATAACATGGAAAGCAGTCAGGTCCAGATAGCTTAACTTCTATGGTGATCTCTAGAAAGATATATGGGTCTTGAACAGCTTGTTGCGTATGAGCTTTGAAAAGCAGAAAGAAAACTAGAGTGCCAGTAAGGGTAGGTTTTCTTATCTTTAACATATGTAGTGCTGTTGAACTTACTGAGAGATGAAAGCTTCCTTAAAAAAAAGTCAGTAGAAAGATGAGTTCCACAATTCTAAAATTAATAGATCTAGAGTTGGCAGGAATTTCAGTGGTCATCTAATCTAAAACCTTCATCTTACAGATAAAGAAACTGAGGCCCATAGAGGTAAAAAATTCATTAAGAATTGGGTACCTCAATTTATAACTAGAAATATTTCAGTTAAATACATCATAATAGTTTTAGAACTAAGTATTGTGAATGTCTGTGGCAGGTAAAGGCAATTCCAATGAATTGTAGTCTACAAAGAGATTTGTATTTTCATGGTAATGGTGATCTAAGAAAATTGTGTTACTTTCCACCTCTTTTCTGAATCCTTATAAAAGTTTCCATTAGATGCCAGCCTCATTGAACTGCTTCCTAACTAAGTTGGAGGGATTTTATTTTTACCCAGACAGGGTTTTTTTAAGATAAGAGAGAAAAAAAAATATCACAATTTTATTAAATTGAAATCACCATAGTTAATTGCTCTTGGTAGCAGTTTTTTTCTCTATTCAGAAAATAGAATTTTAAATTACATCACCTATCAGTCTGTCTTTGCCTTGGTCATGTTAGTAACCATAGCCATGATTAAAGAATTTTATAGTTTTTTTTCTTCCCTTCATGCTAAATTTAAGTGATCTTAAGCATTCCTAAATCCAAATAATAGGAAAGTAAGCAATTTTTCCCTTAACACAGTTAGTTTTTTTAATATTGTTTGAGCCATTACTTGACAAACAGCATATAGTTATTTCTTGGGCCATTCATCTGCTAATGGTACTTTTGCTTTAGATATATTTTTTAGAAGTTTAAAACACATCTCTCATTGTGGTTAGTCACTTTGGTCCAGCCAAAACACTCAACCTGCCATTCACAAAATGTATGGTTTATAACTGGAAGGTTTAATAGTTACTAGTGAAATTTAAGTGATATTTAGGAACACTGAATTTTGTGTTCTGATATTTATTAATGGTGTGTAAAAATCCTATCCTGGTTAATGATTTTCTATTGATTGGTAAGGGGCTGCTGTGAAAGATACAATTCAAATATTCAGAATTCTTCACATTTGTGAAATGTTTTCTGATAATTTTCTTTGAGAAGAATCCCAGAAAACAGTTGAATATGGTTTTAAGGCTTCGTTTTTGTTCATGACACACCCTATTTCCAGAATTACTGGATCCAGTGAGGCTGACTGAGTATACTTTCTCAAGAACTAACAGTATCTTGGTAGAACCACAGATCTTCACCAGAGGCTGCTGTTAGTCCTTGAATACATAAAAATTGCCTGTTTCTTTTTCTTTTTCTTTTTTTTTGAGGGGAGGAAGGTGGGATCACACAAGTGTGAATCTATATTCAAAACTAAGCTCTTGGTGATGTCAAGAACATATTTTAAGGAAAATGAGAGGAATGATATCAAAAAATAATTTAATGATAGGTGTATCCATAAACCAAATTTTTCTCCATAAACTACACTCTCATTTTTGATGAGTGTTTCAGCTCAGAATCTCAGAAATTATACCCCACAACAGCAGCATTGAAATCTTAACTGTACAGAGGAGCAACAGAGATGGAGAAGATGTGATTCCCCCCAATTGGTCTTGTGGTGATGGTGGAGAAAATAAAAGGGAAGACAATATAGAAATTGAAAGACGATGCTGAGCATTCATTATGCTTTTGGCTACCTTTGGGGCCTTTCACTAGTCACTGTTCCATGCTGACTATCAATATATTGCAGATGTGTTAGATCTGTTGTTCTTTCAGTGGTAGATAGGACAGTAATAATCCTCATGTTTTCATGATACTACTGGAAAGCAGATTTCCTTTGAACATAATTATTTACAAAGAATAGAAATCATACTTTTCAAGGGTCGTGCTCCTAATGCTGTTATTAAATCATTTAGTTAGGGATAGTCCCATTTATATCTTCAAAAAAGTGACAACCACAGCAACTCCAACAAATATTTATTCTGGTTTGTAATACAAATATACATACATACATACATACATATTTACACACAAACACACACATATGTGTGTATGTATGTATATGCATGTATACATGTATATTTAATGATGTTAGCTTTTAGCTGACATTTCCTCTTGATTCACGACTTACCATAATCTCGCATTACAGCAAAAAAAAAATCCCTCTCCCTTTTCCTTGGGAGTAAGGATTTTTCTAATTAGAAAACATTGTAATACACCAAGAAAGTCACCATCTAAAAATAAGGAAATTCTGATATTCTGTTTTTTGAAATGTTTTTAGTACCCAGTGATCACTTGTTTTTGTTCAGAA